AGCAGCCCTGTTGAGAAGGACCTGGGGACACTGGTGGATAAATGAACCAACAATGTGAGTTCGCAGCCCAGAAAGCCAACAGTATCCTGGGCTGCATCAAATGAAGCATGGCCAGGGAGTTAAGGGAGGTGATTCTACCCCTCTACTCTGCTCTCGTGAGACCCCACCTGGCATACTGCATCCAGCTCCGGGGTCCCCAACACAAGAAGGTCATGGTCCTGTTGGAGTGGGTCCAGAGAAGGGCCAGAAAAATGATCAGAGGGATGTAACACCTCTCCTATGAGGAAAGGCTGAGAGAGTTGGGGTTGTTCAGCCTGGAGAAGAGAAAGTTCCAGAGAGACCTTATTGGCCTTCCTATACTTAAAAGGGTTACTACAGGAAAGATGGGGACAGACTTTTTAGCAGGGCCTGTTGTAATAGGACAAGGTGTAATGATTTTAAACTGAAAGAGGGCAGATTTAGACTAGATGTAAGGAAGAATTTTTTTTTTTTACAACGATCATTGTGAAATACTATAACAGATTTCCCAGAGAGGTGGTAGATGCCCCATCCCTGAAATGTTCAAGGTCAGGTTGAAAGGGGCTTTTACCAACCTGATCTAGGTGAAGGTGTCCCTGCTCATTGCAGGGAGGTTGGACTAGATGACCTTTAAAGGTCTCTTCCAACACAAATTATTCTATGATTCTATGATTTACTGTTTAACAAGAAAGAAAAAAAATACTATGCAGTTGGGTTCACTATAGAAGCCTAACTGCTTTTCCCACAGAGAAGTCTCTTCCACAAAGCATCTCACTCTCTATGTCATAATATGTTAAATTATTTGCTAAATCTTATATTTCTGTCATTTCAACCTGTCATCAGTGGACCTCCTGCAATTATCAATTTGACATGTTTGTCTAGCCAAGCCTTCAGAGTTGTTAATCTGGGAAGAAAAGACAAATTCCATGCAGAACAAATACTGAAAGAGACAGAATTTATGCCAGAGTCAAAAAGACTGTGATATCCATGCCTAAATTTAGCAAATTTATATAGACTCCCAGATTTTATGACCTGAAGTTACTGCTGTGATCATGTAGATTGACTTTCTGCAAGAGAGACATAGAATTTCTCCCCGTCATTCCTGCCTTGAGGACATGCCATCTCAAGGAGTTTGAGCATGTCTGTCAGAAAATGTATCTGTGCAGATATGAAAACTTCAAGTTTGAACACAGAAACTGTCATATTCCTAAATTCATAATTTCAATAAATCCTTACCATCTTTGGTTAAAATACAGAATATTATTCTTAAGCTTATTTTAACAGGTTACTAATTCCAGTCATTAGATCTTATTATTCCTCTAACAGTTAGACTCTTAGTCATACATCTTTTCTTGATGCACTATGGTGGTTGGATTACGTTGTGGAAATAATATCTTGATAAACCCTACTTCTCATGTGGAATTTCCAGCAGGTTTTCCATATTTTTAATGTGGGGGTTTGTTTTTTTTTTGTTGTTGTTGTTTTTTAATACTTTCTGAAGTTCCTCCATATTATTTACATTCTTTACATGTACAACATCTACATCCATTAGTTTTCATGGGTGTACCGTTAGACGAACTCACTAACAGTTGTGACTACAGGTTTCTCAATCTGTTCCAGTTTGTATTTATGCTTCCCAGGTATCTGCAAATATCAAAGCAAAATTTTTTTTAAAAAGAGACAAAATATTTAAAATAGCCATAATACTACTTTCATGGAATGTAGCACTTTTTTTGTTTTGGGTTTTTATTTACTTAATAGAGTACTGGACTTTGAACATTAATATATTGAATTTGCATAGTCCAAAACAATTATTTGCCCTCACATACATAGCTGTAACTATGCCAAAACAGAATGAAATTTAATATTGCAGAATGTATTTGTCCAGTATTTTAAAAGAGTGGACCAGAACTGGACCAGCTCTTAAGGAGCAAGTGTAAGGATGTCAGTGCATTTGATATTCTGTAAAGAAGAGACTTTAATTATGTAAACACATAGCACGTTATTATGTACTATAATCAGTAGCATGTGATATTGCTTTTGTACAGTCTTTGTCCTGTATGGAAAGGTAATTTTCCTACAGCTTTGCCAGTAAATTTTCCTATTATAGAAGCAATGCAAACAGGCAAACTCAACCAGGCTATCTTGTGTTGAATCCCTTAAAGCTGTCCAAGCTAAATAGACTTTCAGATTTCTTTGTTGCTACAGCTGTAACTAAATTCACACCTTTTGGCAGAAGAACATGACATGAGTCTCACACCAAACCAACATTTTTGTTTTGGCAGTTTTCTAACTGTAACATTTCCCTGTGTCAATGTAAGATTAATTTACATGGAAATGGAATTGAACATCATGATAGCAAAATATGTAGAAGTTATTCAGTAAGGTCAGACAAGTTCAGAGAACACTCTTATGAACTTTAAAAGCCAGCTGAATTCACAACACAACAGCAAGAGCTAAATGCAAAGTAAAAGACACTGGGGAAAAAATCTGAAGGAGTGTGCATCTCACAGGGTTATACATGCATAAACGCAGTAAAGTTCTCATTATAGAGAAGTCATTGAAGACTATTTTCTGTAGAAAGCCTGGTTAAAGAGTACAACAGAAAATGTGGAGAGAAAATCCATTACATTAATGCAATGCGTTTATCAGGTTTTGTTGTAATTTAAAAAATAAAGGTTAAAACCCCATGAAAATGCAAGAAGAACAGTATTTTGATTAAGAAGAAAACAAATTTTCTACAAAAAGTGACTGAAATAATTAGGATGGCTTCATTTAGAGCAGGAAAAAAGATGAGAATAAAACTCAAGTATGAAAGGACATGGCAAAAAGTATGAAATAGTGAATGAGATAAAAAGAGTAAATTAAGAACAACACTTTATGTCCTAATGAAAGAGCAAATAAGCTATTCAAGCAAGTAAAAGGTGGAAACTTCAAAACTAATGAGATGTGTTTTGACATGCATCATAGTCTCACTGTGAAATTCACTGCATAATAGTACAACTCTGCTTATGCCTGAAGGTGAGAGAGGGTTGGTGTGTTTATCTAGACACTGACTATTTATGAATGTATGTGTATAGAAATATCCACACGTATACTTTCTTTGAACACAATTAATTTTTTTATCCCAACAAGAATTTGATTTTCTATTTTACTTTGAATTAAGTGAAGAGTTTATACATGAAAAGCTAAAGAGTACAGTGTTGTTATAACAAATTATAGTAAACACTTTTTTGACAATGTAGTCATGTTTGTCCAGGATTTAAGAATATTTATAGCTATCAGATATTAGGGGGGAAAAAAAAACAAACAAAAAAACCATAAAACCAAACAACCAAAAAAACCCACAAAACAAAATGTCCCTACAACTACAGTATATTATCTCCTGATTTTCTGTGGGAACACTGGCACATGTTCCCACATGGTTGCATTCTGAATAAGATACTGGGTACAAGAATCATGAGTTCAATTTAATATCGAATTTAATATTCTGGAAAAAAACTATACCTGAAACATGTGATTGAATAAAAAGTATTTATAAGCAAAAGTATTCATAACAGAAGAAACTGGAGAATTAGTTCACAGAAACTTCTACAGCAAAAGATGAGGCTCAGACTTTATAAGAAAGAAAATTTCAGTAAGGGTTAGTAGAGTTTTTAAATTCTTTTTTGAGTTTTAAAAAAGAACACAAAAAAACACGATATGAATACCAAAAGAGCAGGAACATTCCATGAACACTGAGATGAAATTTGTTCAAACTCATTGATAAAGATAGTTTTTAATGTCACATTGAACTTTGAATAAATTAATTTTCTGAAATAGAACAAAACACAGTTCTCCACAGAAAGTGGAAACTTTACATTGTTTTACATGAAAGACAGACTTTTCTGCAAGAAAAAAATAAACCCATTCTCTGAAACTTTAATGATCTACTGTTTTCCGACTTTTTGATGAGTTCAAATTATGTGAAATGGAGTGGAAAAAAAAAGACACTGATTTGGGAATGGGATTGGATTTAGCCTGAGATTTTCAGAATGATGCTCATTGAGACCATGGATTCACAAAATGGAATTACTTAGCTCATTGTATTGTAACGAATGGTGCTTAGCTGTAACTTATCTTCCAGAGCCTTCTAAGCTTAACTGAAGATACTGTGAGATAGAGAATTCATCATTTCCTTTGAATGAGTGATTAAAAACCCTCATAGTTAAAAATTCATTTCTAATTTAAATATTTCTTACTTCAACTTCCATGCTTTACATTTTGTTTTACTTTTACTTCACTAGATAGCAGAATCCCTATATATCCAACATTATTTTCCTGTGAAGGTACCCAATCTCTTATTTCTTTTTTTGATAAGGTAAATTGACAAAATAGCTTAAGTTTCTCACTATAAGTTACTTGCTCAAGCTTTTGAATATCTTTTTTGACTCTGTGTCAGTTCACCAAGCTTTCCACTGGTGAGAAATTATATATTTTCTTTCACATAATTGATAAAATTTATGAAAACATCAGACTTCTTTCCCTTCCCTGTGGAACCCTGGTAGAAGCAATTCCATTCAGTGAAATCCCCCTCATGTTGACAATAATTTGAGATCTATCAGGTACCCAGTCCACAATTTACCATGTGCTTTACTGATATGCTAAAGAGCTAATATATGATCAGAATGTTGTGAAATACTAAGTTAAACAGTATGCAGAAATCTAAGACTATCACATCACTGACAGGTTATTCCGTGAAGCAAACAATCTTCTCAAAGAATGAAATTAGGTTTGTTTGACAGGACCTATTTTTCATAAAGCCATGTGGAGTGGCATTAATTTTATTCCTGTTTGTTAATCCTTAATTAATCAAGTCTCAAATTGGTGTGTCCATTTTCAGTTTGAATATGCCACTTCATTTGCTTGCTGTGTTTTGGAAAACTTTTTTTTTTACTATTGATGAAGCATACATTTATCTTCTCTCACTTTCTCCATTTTAGGAGTTACAGTGCTTGAAGGGCCTATTTATGCAGTGGGAGGACATGATGGTTGGAGTTATTTGAATACAGTTGAGAGGTGGGACCCTCAAAGTCAGCAGTGGACATTCGTGGCAAGTATGTCAATTGCCAGAAGCACTGTAGGAGTAGCAGCATTAAATGGCAAGTGAGTAGGGTATTTTTATATGGTTGAAACACATTTCTTAGAGTGATAAATAACTGTGACACACAGTAGTAAATAACTCTTAGCATATTGGAATAGAGGGTGTCTTTTAAAATAAATTTAGACACAGTTGGGCATACCCTCCTATATTTCGTGGCTCTTACATTTATTTGAAATAAGTAATTCATATATATTTTCTATATTATTTTTGTTTATTAATTATATCAAGTGCTTAAAAATATAGACCTGAAATTTCAGTATCTACGCTATAAAACAATTCGGTACAAATTGTCAGTTGATTCATCTGACTTTTATATGTTGTATATGTCAGTTCTATTAACCAACTGAGTATATTCATCTAATATAGTCATGTACTCAGTGATAAGATTTGTTTTATATGCATTTTGTACTTTGCTTCAGCCAAACATTGAACCATGAAACTTTCTCTGTCTGAAGGCAACTACATTCACACAGGAAGTAAACAGAAATTTGATTCTTTTCAAACCAGTCAGACTGCATTAAACCTGTAATTCTAATTGCGTTTGGATTTTAAGTTTCTCTTTTATAACTTTTACTTTTTAAAATTTTAATGTGACACTTATTAAAACTCATTTTACAGTAATGTGATGTTATGTATTAGTTGTTGCTTATGACTTTTAAAGTACTTGCTTTTAGCTACGTGGCTAACAACAACATAGTGTGAACTGTAATAATTTACAGGTAGGGGAGTAATTCATCATACCTAAGTTCAGATATTTTTGTATAGACATCTACAAGTGAGCGAATTGTCCTAAGCTTGCTTTATGGTCAATGGAAGAAATACATACCGTTAGGATATCATCTGTCTTACTTGTTTTAGACATTTGTGTTAGGAGAGCATGAATTGTGATCTGTAAGTGCCTATTTTTTTCTACTATACAGGAAACCCGAGGACTCTGTCTCAGGTTCTGACTTCTGTGTTTTTGATATCTTAAGTGGGGAAGATGAATCTCACTGTAGACAACTGAACATAAATCAAGGGCAGTCAGTAAAGAATCCCTGGGGAACGGTGGGAGCAATGGAGTAAGGCAAAATTCTGGAATATTATTTTCGTCATACTTCATTAGTACTGAACAGCAAGGAAGAAAGGATGAGAAACAGCTGTATATGCAGGACGGAATGAGAGAGTAAGCGTTGAGGATATTAAAAAAATAGTTAATAAATTTTAGGATAAAAGTATATAGGGAAACAAAGGACTTATTAAGGCTATTGGTTTTCATGGTAGACTATGTTATTGCATAATTCAACAATCCTCTAAATTGTGCCCACCCCATTTCTTCCAGTTGCAAATCATTCAGTTTTGATTATACATTTGGATAAACTCTCAAAAATCCTTTATATTAGGTTGTCCTTCTCACACCTAAGATACAGTCTTGAGATAATTAGGCTAACTTGAATTCTGGGATTGTCAGACTCTTTCCACTGACTGTAAGAATCACTGAATATAAAAGCCAAACAAGGAGCTTAATTTAGTCCACAAACAACTGTGTTAGAAGACCTGTAGGAGATCGTGTGCTTTTCTGTAGCAGTAGCAGTAAGCCTGATAGAATAACCATAGTCCCATAATTGTGACAATGTGCAGATATATATTTTTTAAATTGAATCTCAAATTAATTAAACTACAGACTTTAAAAATGCTGACTAATTTTATGAGTTTTTCATACTGCAATTGTGCCCTATTTGCAGAGCAACTCTGTATAAAATAGACTTTATTGGATGCATTCATTATTAATGTTTTATTATTTAATTAATGTTATCATATAGTCAGATGATCTACTTCTCATCCATGATGTTAGGAGTTAGTTTTATGCTGTGAAATCATCTGCAAACCACTGAAGCTTAATTGTCATTGCTTTCTCTTACTAAGTCACAGTGGCATTGAAATGTCACTGTTCCAGAGTGGATCAAATGGACAAAGTCGCTTTAATAACCCTGTTACTCTGAAAGAATCTGGTTTCAATAGTGTATGCAGCAAACTAGCACAGACAAGATCTAAACAAGTAACCCTACTGATTTTCTTTTATTTTTTTTAAATCTGAATAACCATCTTTAAAAAACATCCCAAGAACTGAAACTTGAATATGCCAAGAACTGAAACTTGAAAACATCTAAGGACCAAACCTTCCAACTCTCTGGTGGTATTCTTACGACAGTGCTGTTCCACACAACTCGCATATGCTGTATTCCTCATCTGAATTTTGTGCTTTGAAACTTTTATGGATTTTTTTTTTTTTAAGAAATTCTAGGGATATTAGAAATGGAGAATGTTTCTCAATGAGAAACAAGATGTTGACTTTAACATTTAACAAAGGAGAAATTATTTTAGTATGGAAGCTCTGAGGAGTCTTTTCCTGGCTATTCCTGTGTTTCTTTTCTTCTGCGCTAAATTAAATAAGTAAATAAATAAAATGCAGCAGGGTTAAACCATTTTGCAGTGAGAGAGTTAGAAACTACTCTACATGTGTGTCTCCTGCACTGCTCTGGGCACTTCACATAAATGGGATAGCGTATGCTGAAGAACTCAAATGTGAGTTTCTTAAATACTTGAAAAAATATAGTCTTTTCTTTTGAGTTTTAAATGCCTGAAACTATTCCATTTGTAATCTTCCATACCTCTATGGTCTGCTTCATTGGTTTTCCAGTTAAAGCCACGTTAAGCAGAAGAAAATGATACATTTTAACATAAAAATTGATGAAAATTTTAGTTTTCTTTAAGCTTGGTGGAAAGAAAAATTTAATTTCAGATGCTGATCTCCTTATGCTCTGAGATGATTGATTTGTAAGTAGCTTCTTATTAGTTCCTAATTTATTGAACCTTTTTAAACGTATCTATGTTTTTGAAATTTATTTACATAGTCAGTGTAAGTCAATTATCAATTATTTTGCTGCGCAAATGAATGGAGAGCAATACTATCTGAATTTGGCAAAACAGGGTGCACAGAAATGAATGTTATTTCACTGAAATACATTTTTAAATTTAAACTGAAAATGTTATATTATACAAAAATCTTTCCTAAAACCTCGAAAGGGTTGTGTCAAAATGTGCATCATGATCCAGTCTGAAAAAACTTTTAATTACTGAAGTTATAGAATCCAGCTGAGCTTTTCAGAAATTAAGAAAAGTAAATATCTGATGTACTTTTTTTTCTTTTTCTTTTTCTTTTTCTTTTTCTTTTTCTTTTTCTTTTTCTTTTTCTTTTTCTTTTTCTTTTTCTTTTTCTTTTTCTTTTTCTTTTTCTTTTTCTTTTTCTTTTTCTTTTTCTTTTTCTTTTTCTTTTTCTTTTTCTTTTTCTTTTTCTTTTTCTTTTTCTTTTTCTTTTTCTTTTTCTTTTTCTTTTTCTTTTTCTTTTTCTTTTTCTTTTTCTTTTTCTTTTTCTTTTTCTTTTTCTTTTTCTTTTTCTTTTTCTTTTTCTTTTTCCTTTTTTTAACTTAGTCCAGTTGACAGGGTTCCTTTGTATAATCACATTGCATTATTACATTTGGAGATCACAGTAGTGTTTCACCCATGAGGGATTAATGGAACATCTTCCTCTTCAAGCATGAGTGTCACCTGCTTGTTACCCTCAGATTTCCCACGGTAAAAGGATATGGTAGTTGCTGTCCTGCAATTGGGAACACAAACAATATTCTTTTTCTTAAGTGGCTTCCTAAAACACAGGAACTAATACTAACTAATACTAAAACTAACTAATAAAAGGGATAGGTGGTTTTCTAGGTAGAAGAAATGCACATAGCAGATTTATTCTACCAAAATTTCAGTAAAGCAGCTTATTTGGTGTTACGCAGGAAATAATTAGTTAAGATGGATAGTACAGAGATTTTAAGAAGCAAAAAAGTCTATGTGACATCACAAAGTTACTGTTAGAATTCTTTAAAGGTCAGCCTTGGGTAAATGAGTGTAACAGTAGGAGCATGCTAGTTAAATTATCAGACCATTCAAAGTGACACCAAAGGGAACATTATCATATGGATCATGTTGGGCTATACTACAGAAGTATTTGGATGACCCTAAGAAGCAACATAAATGGGATATTTAATAGTATATATGTGAATGACAGAGTCTTGTGTTTGAAGAAAATTAATAGTAGAGTGTCAGAAGAGGAAAAAAAAGGCTCTGTACCTTGTTGGTACAGAAAAAAACAGTAGAAGAAATCTGTGAAAAAAGGAAATGCAACTGAAGAATATATAAAGTTTTATTAATTGTGGAACTATTTATGCTTTTTAGATTACTGTGTACAATTCTGGTCATGTATATTGAAGAAAGTGTAACTGAAAGTGCAAAGTTTGAATAGGGGGTACCATGATGCCTGTCATACCACAGAAAAGGAACAGAAGTAATACAGTTGGCAAAGAACAGATGGATACAAATAGATAAAATTCAGATAGGAAAGTAGAGATAGAATAGAAATGATAAGGAGACAACAAGAAGGTGTACACAAAATTCTTATGGGGTTCTAAATGCATGTTTATTGGTTCATAGAAAGGGTAATATCTGTTTTCATGTAGCACCGAAGCCTGGACTCTGAGAATTTTCCTTTTCAGTAACATGTTTTCCCAAATCAACAGTGTTGTGCAGCAGTAACAATCTGTACTGAGGTTTTGGAGACTCCATCTCCTTCATCCTCATACCTTTCTTACGGTTAAACAGTAATGGAAGTGTGGAGGGTATTAGCCTTAGTGTGTATATATGGGGTTTAATTTTTTTTTAAACTTGATGCATTTATCGATTTTTAATATACTTTGGTAGCTACTGTAGGATGTGCCATGACTGTAGAGTTTCAGGGAATGAAACATGGTCAGTAAATGCTGATCTGAAAACAGCATCATCTTTTCTGCCTTGTTACTATTAACAACCCTGTTGCACAGACTGGAAGAGAAAGAGTATGTAAACTCTCTCACAACAGGAACAGATGTGGGTGTTAAAATATTAAATGTGAAATGGAGACTTACACTAACTTAGAAGT